GCATGTTGGAAACATAAAGCTTTTCCTTAAATGGAAAAATCTCTAGTTCAGTCAATTTATTCATAAACCAGCCAAAGAATATGCTGTTGTTTGAGTGGTAGTCAAACACCATTGGTGATGACACTGGTTGTTTGGGGCTGTTCTGGTCGGGTTCAGACCCCAGCTCTGCACAGCTGGTGTTGGGGCCTGCCTCTGGAGCCTCCCCATGTCCCCACCAGGCCACCGTGCAGCAGTTGCCAGTTTCAGCAACACGTTGTGGTGGTTATTTTTGACAATGGTAGCATGTTTTGAAAATGTTTCTAAGGCATCCCGGCAGCCTTCTCCTTGCACAAATTTAAAAAACCAATCTGTCCTTGCCCTTCCGGCCCATCCTCCCCAAACAAACCCCTGCATCTGTTTTAAACAGATGTTGTTTAATTCTTTCCAGAAAGAGGGGGAGGGAAGGTGGGAAGGGAGTTTTCCTCTCTTCTACCTTTTGGTAGTAGAGTTCATTGTCCTTGCTCTCTGGGGTGGGGAGTGAGGTGCCCGAGTCAGTCAGTGCTCCATGGATGGGAAGCCATTGGCCAGCGGCCATGCAGCTGGACCACGCAGACAGCCCTCTCAGCTCTCAGTGCAACACCTCACCCGTGGCCTGGTTTTAAATAACCAGATGCCAGAGTTGTTGCCAGTGGAGACCAAAGGGGCTTCTTCCCGCCCGCCCCAAACTCCCTACCTCACCCCACACAGAAGTCTATGCTCTGGGGAAGGCCCTGCTGGGAGGAATCGAGGCAAGAAGCTGCCACAGAGCAAAAGCAGAGGCACAGGTAGCCTTTGTGGTCTGGAAGCAGAGGGTGGGGTATTTATAAAAATCTTGAATAAATGTGTTATTTTGGGAAATAAGTTTGTGGGACTAACAAGTAATGCAAGCCTCTCTTTTTCAAGTTTGCTTCATCCCCTCAAAGAGAGAACAGCCCCCAACTACAGCACGTACAAAGTCAAACCATATTTTAACAGGAGGTGTATAGAGTTTCAGTTCTTTCAGCTCACGTTGGCCATTTCCTGGGGAGATGAACAGATAGTACACTCATCAAAGATTTGAGACAGCTGTGTTGTACACTGGAGGATTTTTAAATCCTAGGTACCCTTAGTTTTTCTGGAATTAAGGGGGTGAAGGGGAAAAAATGAATGTTCTCCAAAGTTGTTCATATGCAACTAATCTGAATACATTATCAAATATTCTTATCTCTAGGATCTCGAAGTAGTGCATGCACAACCTGTGATTTTTGCATGTATTTCTACATGTGCAATTTGTCCATTTACTTGTTAACTAAAGTATTGTGGTTCGTAAGCAAATGAGTACTGAATACTTTCTTTTTCTTTTTTTTAAACAAGGATTCTGTTAACTACAAATACATTTTTTTCTTTCTTCCTTTTTTTTTTTTTTTCCCCTTCAATACCAGGGATTGAACCCAGGAGTGCTTAACCACTGAGCCATATCCCCGGTCCTTTTTTATATTTTATTTAGAGACAGGGTCTCACTGAGTTACTTAGGGCCTCAGCCTCCAGAGCTGCTGGGATTACAGGAGTGCACCACTGTGCCCGGCTTACAAAATGCATTCCTTAAAACCTGTTTTATTGTGTATGTCACCTATTCATTTCATAGTCTATTAACATATCTCATTCTAAGCTCCAGGGATATTACAGTGAACAAAAGGGCAAAGTCCTTGCTCTTAAGAAGCTCACATCCTAGTAGCCAGACAGATACAGGCCAGGCAGGGTGAGAAGATGTAAGATGTTTTATGTAGGACGGACAGGGAAGTCTTCTCTAATGAAACAATTTCCAGCAGAGAACTGAATCATGTAAGGGAATGAGTCTAGTTGTGTAGGGGAGAAGGGTGGGGAATGTTGGTTTGGTTTGGTTTGGTTTTTTGTAGTACTGGGAATTGAATCCAGGGCTGCTCTACCACTGAGCTAATCCCCAGCCCTTTTTATTTTTTATTTTGAGACAGAGTCAAACTAAACTGTCCAAGCTGGCCTTGTACTTGTGATCCTCTTGCCTAGCCTCCCAAGTCTCTGTGAGATGACAGGTGTGCACCACTGTGGCCGGCAGGAAACAGGTTTTAAGAAGCAGGGATAAATAGCCAGTGCAGTGTCCCTGAGGCATGAGTGTGGCCAGTGGGACTGAAGTGGAATAAGCAATGGCCGCATTTTGGCTTTTCTCAAAATGATCTAGGAAGCTGCTGGAGGATTTGAATAGAGTCACAGTCTAATCTATTTTCTGGGAAATCAGGCACACGTGGAAGTAAAGATTCCAATTAGGAAGCAGTTGTGATAATCTCAGTGCAAAGTGATGGCAGGTATGTTGGGCAGTGTCAGTGGAGGTGGTAAAAAGTGTCTTTGGTATAATTGGAAGGGAGAATCAAAAGAGTGGGAGCATACTAGAATGAAGAGTTTGATCTGATACATATTGATTGTGATGCCTGTGAAACACCCAAGCAGAGAACTCAGAACTCACTAAGAGCTTCCTCCAGAAGAGGCCTGGATGGAAATGCAAATGAGGACACTGTTAGCATAGAGTAGGTAACTGGAGAAGTTGGCCCCTACGTGGATGGGGATGGTTTAGGCACCAGGGATGGTTTAGGCACCGTGAAGGAGGAGAGGCAGAGAGTACCAGTACCTGGTAGGCATGATGGTGGGTGCAAGGGCAGGGTCTCTACTGACTGTATCTGGCTTCTCAGTGAAACAGGCAAGCTCATCCATCATCTGAGAGCAAGGGAAAGGAGGCCAGTTAAAAGTCATCTTGGAGACAGAGTGGACAGCTGTAGCAGGATGCCAGTTAACAGATGATCACGACTTTAAAACAAGGCTTGTTTTAAAGCACAGTAGAGGGAGTGTTCCCCACACCATGTGTGGCAGCGTGGGTTGGAGCATGGAGTAGGTAGGTGGTAGGACTTAACCAGGTCAGGTTGTGTCAGGCAATCACGATGAGGAGAGAGAAAGCACAGGTGTTAAGGTTGTGTGCTGAGGAGTGTCACGGTAGATATCGGAGCTGAAGTTGGGTAGAGAATCAAAGTGAGAACATGAGGAATGCTGAGCAGGAGAAGGGCCTCAAAAGTGGCGGTAAGAACAGGCTTCGATGCCAGGTGATCACTGGAGTCTGGAGGGAGCTACAGAGTAAGGGGGTGATGGCCGGAAAGTGGGCTGCTTAAAATTGAGGCAGGGAAGTGGTGTAGACACTGGCGATAAAGTCAAGGGTTGACCTGAGTGTGGGGCACTGGTTGGGTACAGGATGGAGTCATTGGAGGGAAAGAATCCCAGAAGCTAAGAGGCCAAGGAATTGGAAGGATGCTCATAATCAGTGATAAGACAACCAAGAATCATGGCAGGATAGTGGTAGGAAAGAGGAAGGACAGTGAGCCTGGTTGCCAGCCTTTTCAGGGATGAGAGGTTAAGGGGTGACCCATAATTGTGGGTGGAAGAAGAGCATGGTCAGGTGTATGAGCTGCAGATGAACCCAGAGGAGGGCGAGGAGCCTGCAGCTCTGCTGAGTCTCTACCCCATGTGTGGGTTTGGAGGAGCCATGCTGCAGAGAGCAGCCTGGGAGACCGAGCCACAGAGGACCTTTCACTTCATTCAGGTTAATAAAGCAAAAGGAATATTCATGAAATACCTAGAGTACTCAAATTCACAGGGACACAAAGTACAGATGATGGTTGGTGGGGGCTGTCTGTGGAGGGAGGAGAGAATGGGGAGTAAGTGTTTTCACAGATACAAAGTTTTGGTTTGGGATAATGAAAGCGCTCTGGAGATGATGGGTGGTGGTTGAGGGTTGCCCGGGGGTGCAAATGTACTTAATACCACAGAAATGTACACTTAAAATGGTAAATTTTGTACAGTAGGTACAGTTTATACAATTTTTTAAAAACCAAAGGAATGGTCAGAGGAGAAGATGAGGAAGTTAGAGGTTATTGGATTTAAGGCCCATGAACTTGGTGGAGGAGGGCAGCTGGGTCACAAGGGAGGTGGAGCCATGTGGGGTCATGGAAATCCAAGCGACTTGTCTTTGGGTGAGGAGGTGAGCAGGAATGTGCAGCTGAGGGATGTCTCTGTCCTGCTGATGGTGGGACCAGGCTCCTTCTGAGATAGGGGACAGCCTTCCCTGGGGCCCAAGGCACAAGAGGGTTCTCTGTTACTCTGCATCTTTGTTTCCTAGAATCTAGCATAGCATCTGGCATACATAAGCTCTGAATATATGATTGAATAAAAAATGAATTCTATCCAAGGAAAGAAAACATCAAGTGAGAATTTAATGGCCTTGCTGAAAATCCAAATAAATTTCCCCAAAAAGTGATGAAGAATGAAAAGAAACTGGGATTGGTCTCTGAAGGAGAAAGGATTGTTGGCAAATGTGCAAAAGAACTTATTGCAAAATCAAAGTTCTAGAATGGAAAAAAATAAAACCATAAATAAGAGCCTACAATTGTGTAAAGGATATCTTGAATTAAAATATTTCCCCATCTATATAAATGTTTCATGCAGAATTTGTGATTTGGAAGTGGACTATCTTATTCTTGTGCTAAATAAGAAAATAATTAGCTTCATAAAGTGTTAATAAGACTTGCCTTTCATTATAAACTAAGTTTACAGTGAATATCCTCTTAAGTTATTAAGTTTGTCTTTCCAACTTACAAATAGATACCAAAATATAGAGATTGGCTCACTTATTTTTAATATTTATGCCCTGAAACTGGAGAATGAGATGCTTTGAATACTTCTTCAGAGACTCACAAGTAGTTGTTAATCACTTAGGTGTCTTTTTTTAAGGTACTTCTATGTTGAGTTGATGTGTTTTGTGTTTTCGCTAAAAAATCTTGAGATGGGTTGCCTCTCAAGATTATTACCAGGCACAGATTTTCTCTTAAGTCCAGAGAAGTGCTGGCTGGTGGTCATCTTGCATTGTGAAACATGTTCTGCAGCTACCAGACCATTGTCATGCCCCATTCTTCTTGTTGTCGTTTTAGTGACAGCTATATTGTGCGTGTCAAGGCTGTGGTTATGACCAGAGATGACTCCAGCGGGGGATGGTTCCCACAGGAAGGAGGCGGGATCAGTCGCGTCGGGGTCTGTAAGGTCATGCACCCTGAAGGCAATGGACGAAGCGGCTTTCTCATCCATGGTGAACGACAGAAAGACAAACTGGTAATGGCAGACATGCAACTGTGGGTTAAATTAGCAATGACTGATTTCTTTACGTGACATCATAGCGCTCTTCACTTAACTTTTTTTTTTTTTTTTTTTTAATTTTTTTTCTCTGACTTCAAACTCTTGCAAAAAACTTGAAAAGTTAGAATTCTGGAGCTGCTGTCAAATTTTAAAACATAACCCTCCCTTTGCAGTAAAGGCTCTTGACCACACACCCATGTTGTGTAACTCAGATGATACGGAACCTTGAAGCCAGAGTTTTCAAAATGTAGAGTTTATTCATGGAGCTTACCCTTGCATTTGGAAAGTAGAAATTACTTAAGAATGCAAAGGCACAGAGAAAATGTCTTCTGACATTTGGCTCCTTCTAAACAAGTGTTTATCTAAAAGATACCATAGCTTTTATTTCATAAGTAATGAGTAAAGCTTGTTTGGAAAAGAAGTAACAGAAAAGTAGTGGTATCACACTTCTGTAAATAATTATGCATGCTTATAAATAAATACTTGGGAGAGGGATGATTACTTCCCAAGAATGGATGATTGGTAGTTCTTAACGCGCAGGGTGCTGAAGGAGCTGGGATGACCAGGTCTGTTATGATACAATTTATAACAGGAAGGAAAAATAGAATGTCCAGTCTATTTTCAGTTAATGGCCCTAAACATGGAAGACTACTCCTATCTGTATCTGATCGTGGTGTGTATATTCAGAAACCAACAGATGATTCGGAATGTGCAGGATTGTACAGGATTTCACAGAGAATGCAGACGGCGCAAGAATATGTCGGTCTTACGTTTGAGACCCTTTATAGCGGCATCTGTTGAGTTTCATGTGTTAGATGTACAAATTTAATCTTCTTTTGCAACCACTTCTTAGAGTTTAAAAAAAATCACACAGTAGATAAAACAATTTGTAAATGTTACATATGGATTAACAGAAATGCCATTTTCACACTTGATTCATTTCTGAAAATTGAAAGGGAGGATATAGCTAATTTTAAGAAGTATTTACGTAGGAAGTTCCCTACATAATAGTCAGATGAAGAAAACATTCTTATTTACGAAATTTGGGGAATAAAGGCAGTATAATCACACGACCAACAAAAAGTGATAAAACTGTCATTTATCTAGCATTTACCATCTGCTGAGTACCATGTTAATCTTTTGGCTAGGTTGTACCACTGTATGCTTACAACAGTCATTATGACTGAAGATATTAGGATTTAGAATGATTCTACATTGTTGGTGACCCATTTTGTGAACCACAATCCAGTATTTGATACCCCATCACGATGACCAAGACCAAACCAGAGTCACACCTTCAGCCCATTGATGTAGTTTTTTCCCTTGCACAGATTTTTATTTTTGCAAAACTCTCATCATATTTTGTGATCAGTTATATGTCTCATTTACTTTGCCCAAGCATTCTCATAATAGATTTTCTGAACCAGGTGCAGTGGTGCATGCTTGTAGTGCCAGTGTCTTCAGGAGGCTGGGGCAGGAGGATCAATGACAAGTTCGAAGCAAACCTGGGCATCTTAGTGAGACTTTGACTCAAAATAATTTTTTTTTTTTTAAAGACTGGGAATTAGCACAGAGGTCGAATTCTTCTGGGTTCAGTTTCCAGTACCAAAAAGGGAAAAAAGAAAAAAAGGAAATTTTGGAGGGACTGAAGGTGTGTAGCTCAGTAGTAGAGCACTTTTTGTCTGAAGAAAAAGAAGGGACAGAAGGAAGGAAATAAATTTTCCACGTTGCTGATATCAGTGTGATGTTCTTTTATTTACTTGGCCATCTCCTTAGTGTTGAAAACTAAAGTTCTTTCCTTTCTGCCTACTCTGAAGAGACACCTACCTGCATTTTCCATATTTATTACTTTTGGGGGATAATTTGGAGAAGTCAATTATGTGTGCAGGGGGCTACTGCTAGCATACGAAAATTTCCTTTTAACACATAGAAAGTCATATATTTTAAATCCTTATCACTTTGATAGAATAGCAGTGGTAGCTTATGGTACATAATGAGCTCAAACAATTTTCTCTTTGTTACAAACAGTTGTGACTGTGAATTATCTATTAATGTATGTCCTTTGCATACTTTTCTATTGGGATCTTATTTTTCTCCTTGATATCTGTGCTCTCTTGTATAATAAAGATCTAATCTTCATTTGACATACTTCAAATATAATTTTATAATCTGTTGCTTTGTTTATTTTAGTCGGTATTTTTTTTCTACAAAATTTTAATAGAAAAAATTTTCACTCACCTTCTTTTTGTTTTTAGTTGTTCTGGGTTAACAAATTATCTGATGTGGCTGGAGCTCTTGCTTAATATGCACAAGGCCCTGGGTTTGATCCCCAGCACCTGGGGTAGGGGTGGGGGAACCTACTTGTGTGAAGGGTTAATGACATTTAGGTATATTTTTTCATGGAATTTCATGGTTTGTCATAGACTGTTTCAACCTAAACAGCCATTTAGATTGTCTAACCCAGCCCCTTAATTTTACAATACATTTATGAACTTGTATCTTGTTTTTAATATTTATTTTTTAGTTTTAGGTGGACACAATATCTTTATTTTATTTTTATGTGGTGCTGAGGATCAAACCCAGTGCCTCACGCATGCTAGGCGAGCAGACTACCACTGAGCCACAACCCCAGCCCCCTGAACTTGTATCTTACCTGTGACTTGTACATTATAGTTACAAGGTTTTATTATTTTTTCAAGGCTCTTAGTATGCACGGCATCATTAAACTCTTGCAACATTCCAAAGGAAGAAGATATTGTAGTAGTGGGGGACTCAGTGCTTCAAGATGTGGTCCCCTTCCTTGGTTGAAGACGTGCATTCAGTGTCTGAACCAACACTTGGAACCATTTCTTTGTCAGAGCCCGATGGGGCAGTTCCAGTCCTCTGTTCCCCCTGGACTTGCGGACCAGCTTCTGTTTGTTGCTGTTGCACGTCGTGCTGTCCTAAATGCAGGTGGCATTCCCTCTGCCACCATGTCTCCCCATCCCTCTTCTTTAGTGTATGACTAACTTCTAGGCTCCAGCTATCCACTGACACACACCTGTGTACTTGGTTGCACTCTCACCTCTCCAGCCCTCCCCATGAGGGGTATGGATTCCTGTTCCCACAGTGTGTACACACATACACACACATACTCACCACACACACACACACACACCCCTTCAGAGACTCAGTGACCCCTCCCTTGGCCTTCTGCACTTCTGCAGAGCAGCGTTTCTGCCCACTGGTGGACAGAGGCCCGCAGGGAGCTCTGCACTAAGAGATGGAATGGTGAGAGAGAGTGGAGGCCATTATTAGGACATGGAGGGTAGATGGATCAGAATTCCCAGTTTGCCCGCCAAGGCATGAAGTGCTCTTTCTGACTGAAACAGTGTTGTGGATGGACACTCCAATGTTGTCCAGTTTTAGGTCTCAGTGTATTGTGAAGGGGTTTTGTGGTTGTTGGTTTTAGTTACATATTGGGGCTTGTGAGTTTAACTGTCATTATTTCTGTGGGAAACAGGTGTGTTCCAGAGGCCCAGTCCCAAATAGTATTTCGGATCATTTTTATAAGCTGAGGACAAGAAAATTTTCCTGAGAAATTTTATGTGAGTTAGGACTTTTTGAGTTGAGTATTACTTTAGATGAATTAGAGGAGTTTACTCCTTAATCCCATGAGAAACCACTTTATAAAGACAAATCACAAAATATAGAGTTGGTTGATCCCTCCAGTGACTGCCCATGTATAAGTTGGTGAATATTCTCACAAAATGTTGTGGGGGAATTTGAGCCAGCAAAGCTCTTTGAAAGACAATTTGGCGGGATTTTATTTTTTTTATTTATACATACATACATGCGTACTCGGGATTGAACTTTACCACTGAGCTATACCCCTAGCCCTTTTTATTTTTTGAGACATGATCTTGCTAAGTTGCTATGGCTGGCCTTGTACTTGAGATCCTTCTGTCTTAGCCTGTTGGGCATGTGCCAACACACCTGATTGAGATTTTAATTTTAAACCTACATAACTTTTTAACCTAGCACTTCACTAGTATCTGGCTGAGTAGACAAGAGCCGAATTCTCATATCTACTCCTGCTTTTTAATCTGTTCTAATATGTCATTTTGGCTATATGATAACATATGCTAGAAAAGGGAGTCATATTTAAAGAGCCCTGTCAGATAATTATATATATTCTTCTTTGATACTACATCAAAACTCAACCTATTGCAGTTTCTTAAATGTGGAATCTGGAACCATTGATAGGAATTTTTTATTCTCTTATATTAAAATCCTTTGGTTTTGCTGGGCATGGTGGCGCATACCTGTAATCCCCATGGCTCAAGTGGCTAAAGCAGGAGGATTGCAAGTTCAAAGCCAGCCTCAGCAACTTGGAGAGACCCTGTCTCAAAATAAAATGTTTAAAAAACTCCTGGGGATGTGAATCAGTGGTTAAGCACCCCAGAGTTCAATCCCTGGTGTATCTTTTGCTCTGGATTTTTCACTCATGTCTGATTTGGTAACATGATGCATTAGTCATCTGGAAAATAATGGTTTACTGAGTTCAGCAGATCTTCCAATTGTTGACACATTTTATCCTACAATATCAAAAAATTACATTTCTTAATATCACCAATGATCTTATTAGAACACTATTTAAGATTGGGAAGCTGTCCAAAATTATGATTTTCACTTAGAAGTTCAAATTTTATTATTGGCAACAAATACCTCGAGTTGTTTTCCTTGAAGTGACAAGCTCACTTTGTTCATTTTCAAGAAAATGTCTGCCAGATTCCCAAGTATGATTAACCACGATTGGTCTGTCATTCTTTGAATAAAAACAGAAGTCCAAGAAATAAGCAGTTAGTTCAACTCTCAACAAAACCAGTCACATAAGTACTTGACTCAGTCATCCATAAGCAGAAGAGAAAAGGCAATTATAAATACTCTTTCCTTTTCCAACTGTGCATATGTGCAAAGCCAGGTTTTCTTCATATTCTTCAACCAAAGCAGCACATTGTAGCAGGTGGAATGCAGAAGCTGATGAAAGAATCCAATTGTGTGTTCTTCCCATTTCATCACATAAAATAAAGTGCATGTGTATGCAAAGGTTAAGATGTAGTGAAATAACTTTTGCTGCTTCGTTAAGGACATTCTTGAGCAAAACTATCATTTCTTACTTAGACCATATGATGATGAAGAAGGAATCTAATGGCTTTGATACAGTTGGGTGGTGCTACCATGCTATCTTGATTCATGCAACTGCCCAGCAATGACACCCACCACAAGCAGAAATGTCAACACAGTGAAAAAGGCAAAAGTGTCTTACGATGATAAAAAGAGTTTTCCCATCTTGGAAAGGGTCTGCAGATGGGGGAGGCTCCAAAGGACCTGCAGACTAAACTCTGAAAACCTTTAATGTATAAGGATGTAGGTTGTGGTGTTTGTCTATAAAAGTGACCAGTTGCAAATTACCTAAATGTTCATGAAAAAATGTAATACATCCACACTGAGGAAATACCACACAGCCATTGGAGAGAACCATTATTACCTTCCTATATCTCTTAAGACATTGTGTTGTTGGTTTTTTTTGGTGCTGGTGATTGAACCTAGGGCCTTGAACATGCTAATAAGCACATACGCTACTACTGAGCAACAGCCCAGTCCCTAAAGTTTTAAGGAAAATAAAAAGCAAGTTGTGGACAGTTTATAGGTGTGGCTGCATTTAAACACACACACAAACTGCTGTGTATATCTGAAGAAGACAGCAAGGGAACTAGGTGTTACTCACCATAATGACAATGGGGTGACACTAGAAATGGAGAGGCCTGAAGGTGAGGCAGGAGAAAAGCAAGCAGGAGGTTCCTGTGTTCATCTAAATCACTTTTAACTCTTTACAACATCTATTTCCTGTGTCTGTTTTTTTTTTTAAAACTCCAACAAGAATATCTGTTGTAAAGATGAATGCATCTGAACTTTTTTTGTTTTTGCTGTAAAACTTAGCTACATAAAGATATTAATTTGCTTAAGAGGACATCATAAGATAGTATCTAATTTCTCTATCACCTAATTTAAGTGGACAAACCTTGTTTTACTTAAAATTTTCTAAGAAAATATGCATTGGGAATAATTTTTAAAGTTAGTGTCAACTAGAGACTAATTTTTTCACCCTAAAAATATGGAAAAAGAGTCTGTGTTTTTACAAAAAGTTTATTTTGAGACTTTCAATTGAGACTATTAAATTCTAAAATAGATAACATTTGTTAGTTAAAGCCTTGGTTATTTGGATTTCCCCAATTTGGAATGGGGCTGGGCTGACATTTAATCATTGCACTATTCTTAGGGGGAAATGGCCATAATTAGCAGTTTAATCATAAATAGAATCGGGTGAGTGGACTGTTGTCTTCTTTCAATACATTGTTGTAAAGTTAACTGCTTTGGGCCGCTAATGTGTGCCAACTTGAATATTATTTTTATTTCTTTACCAACTTCAGGAATGTTTATTAGGCAGCATTTAATTTCTTTTTGCTTTGAGGTATTCTTGAATTTCTACTCATTTGAACACATTGCTTATTTAAATTTATACTAATTCGAACAGGCTTGTACTTTTGCCATTCATTTAGTCTAAATTAACAAGATCACATTGTGTTAATTGCAGAGCTTTGCCAGAACAAGATCAAGGCTATTAAAACTCAGCAAAATCATTATGATGTTTATAGTGAAGGAATAGATATTGTGAATAGTTTGGTTTTATCCTGAATAAAGAATGAAGTTTATAGTCACATGATTGCAGTCCTGCTTGTTTTCTATAAAATACAATATTAAAAATACAATACTAGTTTCTTTATAACACCATTCTAGACACAGGGTGTTACTTTATGATACATCTTGAAATATTTATATTTAGGGGGAACAAGATCAATGCAAGTGAGGCTATTAGAATGATGTGAAGTCAGATGCCCAAGGGTGAAGGCAACAAGGATGAGTACAGACTACAGCCTCGTGTGATGTGCCCTGAGGAATGAGTGCGGCCCTGTTAAGTTTCTCATTTATTCAGTGTTTTCAGAGCATGTTCTTGCCTCCTTGATAACTTTGGTGTTATTTCCGCCTTAGAGATAAAAAGATGGAGGGACTTGATCTAGAGAGGAAAAGATCAGTCAAGGTTGTAGCTCAGCAAAAGCCAGTTCTGAAACTAGATGGTTAGAAATGTGGAGATTGTTCTAGTAATCTAGATGTAACGTTAACAGTCCCAGATCAGGATGGCAGCAGCTGAAATGGGGTTGATAGAAAAGATACCGGAGACATGAAATGGACTTGGTGATCAATCGTATCGGGGAAGAGAGAAAGCAGAGCAGCAAAGGCGACCGACCACAGAGATTCGGAGCTGGAGAGAGTGAGCAGAGAAGGGTTGGCATTGCCAGATGTAGGCACTTAGGAGGAAACCAGTGGCAGAAATTTCAGAATGACTGATTTTCAGCTTGTTGGATTTAAGAGTCGTGGGAGCCACCGAATAAGTCAGAGGAGGGAAAGCTGAGAGCCATTAGTACAAAGGCCACAACATGGGGCCGATCAAAGACCTGGGTCTCACTGGTGCTCCACAGTGAGGACGGGGAGAAGAATCTGTGAGATGGAGAGGAACGTGGTAAAAGGACAGCCAGGACAGGAAAGCTCACAAGAGCCAAGGGCCAGGGGCAGCAATGATGAGGTGGTCAGTAAGCAACAAAGTGTCCTCCCTGATAGAAAGGCGCCCGGTGGAGGCACAGGTGGAAGGTCTGGGTTAGCACTGTAATGGTTCCCCTGTTAGACTTCTGTAGCCAGACACCATCATGGCTGCTCCATGAGTAACCAGCCTGTGTGTTTCCATCCTTCAGGTGGTGCTGGAATGCTATGTAAGAAAGGACTTGGTCTACACCAAAGCCAATCCAACGTTTCATCATTGGAAGGTCGATAATAGGAAGTTTGGACTTACCTTCCAAAGCCCTGCTGACGCTCGAGCCTTTGACAGGGGAGTGAGGAAAGCAATTGAAGACCTCATAGAAGGTATCAAACTTGTCACTGGGCCTTTAGTGGGTCTGTGGAAAGTTTCCAGATTCTTTTTCATTCCAGTGGCCTGCCATCGTATATTTATAGTTTCTTTGCAGGAGGGTTTGGGGGCCAGTTGATGCCAAAACTTTCAGAGCTTCCAAGGAGACTAATTAAAGTGACAATGCAGAGGAAAGGAGATAGATTTCAGAGAAGGGAGTGATCCTGATTGGTTTTTGGACTGTGCTCTGAAGCTGGAAGCAGGCACTCCAGATGTCCATGTGAATGGATTTTTTACTGTTTTTTTTCCTCCTTGTCCTGACTATTAAAAAGACTTTAGTCTGGTCTGTCTTGGCTCAGAAGTAGAGAATGCATTCTGGTGGACCCAGCTTACACCAGGTCTGTCCACTATTCCAAAATCAAAGCCTGGAGTGAACAGTGGCCACTGAAAAGGAAAGGGATCTGTCACTCCCCAGGTCCTTGGTTTGGTGTAGGCCGTTCTTTGTAGATGGTGTATGTAGGCAGGGTTAGGGTTGTAGCTCATTGGTAGAGTGCTTGCCTAGCATGTGTGAGGCACTGGGCTCAATTCTCAGCATCACATATAAAGAAATAAATAAAGGTCCATTGACAACTAAAAATATATTTTTTAAAAAGAGAGAATGATGGACTTCGTTTAAAAAAAAGAAAAAGTAAATGGTGTAGGCATTGTTACATCTGATTCTGGCCTGGAAGAGCCTTGGGCCATCAACTCTCATGATGACCATGGTTACAGTCCCCAGGTGCAGATGGACAAATTTCTGTGTTTCAGATTCAATTATCTAATCAGACAGTTAAAGGTGCTACAGCCAGAGCCCTCTGAAGAAGTATCAAGCAACATGTTAATACCAGATTTAGAACTGGGGGAATTGAATCACAAAAGAATATATATATTGCTTGCTTAAGAAATGGAACTGTTCTGAAGTATTGATTGTGAATGAGGGAGAAAAAATGCAAGTCTTGGAAATCATTTAACATTTAACAGCTAAGACAATTCTAGCTACAACATGAATCAATTAATGAAAACCATGAGTTGGCCAAAAAGAGATTAAAAACCAGGGTTTACAATGTTAAGTGGCAGATATTTTAGATGTTGATATTAAATATAGCTTTTCAATGTTTGTAGAGAATCAACCTCTGTATTATTGATAGAAGTTTGCGTTGTATCCATGGACTTTAATCACTGAAGTTACATACAGGATTTGATTCTCACACTGGAATTTTTTGTGTGTGCACACACTACCTAGCTGTTCTCTCGTAAACTAGAACTTTAAAAACTAAGTCATTCTGTGATGGAATAAGCTGGGGTTTCTGACAGAAGCCTTAATTTTGACCTGCAAAAGCAAAGGAAACTCACCTGCCCATTGCCTGGATATCTTCTAAGAACATGGCTCCCACAGTTGGGATTTAGAGGACAGTATCTGAATTTGGAACTGGAAGTGCAAACATTCAAGCTGTTTAATCAGATCTTCCTCAGTGGTGGATGAAAAGACTTACCAAAGCGAAATCCTGTCTCCACAGTAAGATTGTGGCAGGTCTGACTTGCAGGGAGTCCTAGTTCAGTGCTTTCCTCCCTCCACAACTGGGACCTTGAGGTCCCTACAGAGGCTGGACTTACTGAATGCCCCTCAGAGAAGTAGTCAGGTTCTCCTTTCCCCTCCATAGTGCTTCTTTATGTATCTGTTCTTTAGCAGCCAGTGTAGAAGTTTGAGAGATTAACTGAGAACAGTTCACAAAGTTAATGTAGGGAGCATCGGGCAAGAAGTAGTTAAAGAATAAGTTAAAAGCATTTAATTCAGCTAGGCGCAGTGATGCATACCTATAATCCCAATGACTTGGGAGTCTGAGGTAGAAGGATTGTAAGTTTGAGACCAGCCTCAACTAGATCCTGTCTCAAAATAGAAAATAAAAAGACTGTGGTTATAGCTCAGTGGTAAAGCACCCCTGGGTTCAATCCCCAGTATAACAAAAAAAAAAAAAAAAAGAGGCACTAATTCCCCAGTAATTGGTTTCTGTTAGTGATTCATAAACAAAAAGGATGGAGCATACTATAGTGACACAGCCACATCAATATTTATAGCAGCTCAATTCACAATAGCTAAAATATGGAGCTAACCTAGATGCCCTTCAACAGATGAATGGACAAAGAAAATGTATACATGCAAAATGGAATATTGCTCAGCCATAAAGAAGAATGAAATTATGGCATTTGCCAGTAAATTATCTGAAGTCTTCAAAGGCAATCCTAAAAAACCAAAGTCTGAATGTTCTCTCTGATATGCGAGTGCTAACACTCAATAAGGGGGAACTAGAAGTTCACTGGATTAGACAAAGGGGAATGAAGGGTGGGGGGGAATAGGAAAGACACTGGAATGAGTCACACCTAACTTTCCTATGTTCATTTCTGAATGGATAACAGGTGCAACTCCACATCATGGACAACCCCAAGAATGGGAAGTCATGCTGCATGTATTCATAATATGTCAAACTCTGCTATCATGTATACCTAAAAAGAACACTAAAAAAAAAATGAAGGGAAAAGGATGAAATGTGGTTTTATTAAAGTGCAATTTTTAAGTTTTAAGTGATTGAATTTAGTTTATACTCTTTGGAGACACATTTTTATTACCTTTTTCTCTTTTAGGCTCGACAACATCATCTTCCACTATTCATAATGAGGCCGAGCTTGGTGATGATGACGTTTTCACAGTAAGCTTCCTTTGCCCTTTTCTGTCCACATTAGGTGATGACTAAGAACAAAAAGGTTCTCTGTCATTGCCAGAGACACCTTACAGTGAGGCATCAACTGTTTTTGGGTGGGTGCCGTCAGGTATCTCTATCTTGTATCAGTTTCCTGAGCACTGGGTTCGCCCCTCGCTCCTGTGTGGCTGTACTCTGCTACACAGCACTGCAGTGACAACTCTCCCAGATCCAGAGTCCTTAAGGCTTCTTTGAAATCTAGAGTGATGGGCTGGGATTGTAGCTCAGTGGTAGAGTGCTCGCCTACCATGCATGAGGCACCACATAAATGTAAAATAAAGATATGGTGTCCACCTAAAACTAAAAAATAAATATTAAAAAGAAAAAAGAAATCTAGAGTGACCGTCTGCTTTGGTTTGCTAGGACAGTCCTGGTCTTAGCACCCAGAGTCTTAGTCCTGTGGAACACCTCAGTCCAGGCAAACCAAGACAGTTGGGCCCCTGCTTGGAATCTTCTGTTAACACCCTCCCTGGAGAGGAAAAGCCTGAAGTCCCCCTTTTCATTGAGTAATTCAGCATCTGATAAGAAAGGCCTGGAGGCTGAGCTGAGGACAGTGTGCTGGGGAGGAAGGGGCTTCCATGTTGTGACACAGTTTGACTTAATGAGATGTAACTGGAGATTTGATTTCTCAGCTTGCATCTTCATTTAAATCCTGGGCTTCTAGCAGTTAATTAACAAGTAATTCATTGCCTACCTACTGTGAGCTTAGGAAAGCAAATTGCTTTAGGGCAGCATTTTCAAACTCAGGGCCTTGACCCACAATAAAAAAATGCGTGACCCAGGACACACTCTTCAATGGATACCTAAAAGCAAATCACGCTTCATGCTCTGCATTCCAATTTTTTTTTCTTTCTTTCTTTTTTTTTTTTTTTTAAATTATGAAACTTATTTTAAATTGAGAAAAATTTGAAGAATAACATAATGAATACCTTTGTGCCCTCTACCTGGATTTAGCAATTGTAAATTCTGGCACATTGGCTTGATTTGTCCCAATATGTGTAATTACATATGTGTGCATGTGAGCCCACGTGCACAATTTTTTTTGCTATACTTTCCACTCAATTTTGTAAACCTAAAACTGACCCCAAAAAAGACCAATGAAGATATGTTTTTTAAAAACAATAAGGCATTTCCCTGTACAACCACAACACCATTACGATCTCTTAAGAAAGTTAATAGGAATTTCATAATTTTATCTCATGTCTACTTCATTGTTACCCAGTTCTCCCAAGACTATCTTTTGTAAGCTGATTTTTATTCCATATTTTTAAATATTGGGTGCAACCTATTGAACTTGTTTCCCAGGGCACTCAAAGTTTGCAGCTGGAGATATAAAAGACACTGCTTGGGGGCCACAGTGGTGTATAACCCAAGGTTCCAACGAGACAGGAGGTTAACAGGGTAGTTTGCAGAGAGGGGCTAGACCCCCAGGAGGCCTGGAAGCTGCAGGCTGTGGACAGCAGTCTGGTCTAGAGATGAAGGGTTGGTGTGGGCTCAGAAAAGACCTCACTGGGAGATAAACCTCCCGTGGCATCTGAGCAGGGTTCTGGAAGGGGCTTCACAGCTAGGGAGCCAGAGGGGCAGAGGCAGAAGCAGGGATGTGGGCGGTGAGTTGCCTGAGCGTTGTGCATCCCAGCCTGATGTGAACAGAGCGTGCGTGGGGGTTTCAGGAAATGAACTCCCTTGTCCTTCCTTGGAGCGACTGGTGTGATGTGGCTCTGAACAGGCTTCCTCCAGTGCTCCGAGCAGATCCTCTCAACAGTTGGCATGTTGCTTACATCTGTTCTTTTGTCACGTTTCGGGAGACAAACAACAGCAGGCGGGTTAAAAGGTGGCTTCCTGTGCTCCAGAGCAAAACTGTCCTTTGCAGCTGCTTCCCAGCTACCTGCCAGAAGTGATTTATGGAATCGGGAGAGGGTGAGAGGGAAAGGAATGATGGAAGCCAGAATCCCTCCTGGTTTTGTCCTTTAATCCACAGGGGATCCACAGAGCACAGAATGCCTGGGGGGAAAAAAAAAAGTTTAGAAACAGCCCTGCTGCTTCCAGATGTTTGGAAACTCACTGGAGAAGGAGCTCTGTTTAATGAAGTGCCTTGCACATAGGTCCCCCTGTCTATGGTCAACTGCCCTCATTTCCATTTGTTTACAAACAAGGACCTATTTATAATGGGACCTCCCTTCCCCAGGAAGAGCCCTGTCTTTATGAACCACACCCTAGGAAAGGGGGGGGGGGCTTATATGCCAGGTTCCCATTCTTTCAGAGTTCCCTGTGGCCAGACTTTCTATCCCTAAATAGTAAATAAGTCTGAAGCCTAGAGCCAAGGAAATGAGCGACTGCTTTATCTGCTGTGTAGTCTACAGCTTCCCGAGTCTTGTTGTGTCCTGAGACTTAATAATTGGAAGACAGATGTTTAGAGCTTGGAACTCATTTATCAAAGAAAGGGTATAAATAATGATAAGACCTGCTCCAACTTATGACGGACCAGAATCATGATCATTTTCCAAGAGAACAGCCCGTGAATGGGAAAACTTTAGAGTTGTAACTCGAGAAACCAGGAATAGACCTTTTGTGTTTCTGCCACTGGAGCCAGAGGTTATTTTGTTTCAGGAGATTCCTTGGGACTAGGAGGAAAACAGGATATTGTGGACAATATGTGGATGCACAAGAGTATCAGCATTCCTTGATGTCCTACTGGGGGAGTGCTGTGGTTGGATATGGTGTGAGCATGTCCCCTGAGAGCTCACATATTGGAAGCCCAGTCCCCAGTGTGGCCATGTTAGGGAACAGTGAAACCTGATGGGAGGTATTTAGGTCATCGTGCGCACTGACAGTAATTTGGTTTCTGTAGGACCCCTGATAGTTTGTATAAAACAGTAAGTCTGACCCCTCCCCAGACTCTCCACCTTCTCCTTTTGCCGTGAGATCTCTGGCATATGCTCCCACCTTTATTTTTATTTTATATATATATATATTAGTTGTAGATGGACACAATGCCTTTATTTTATTTATTTATATTTATGTGCTGCTCAGGATCAAAACCAGTGAGTGCCTCACATGTGCTAGGAAAGGGCTGTACCACTGAGCTACAACCCCAGCCCACTCCCTCCATTTTTGAAATGCCACCTGCAGTGTTGCCCTCACCAGAGCCAAGCTGCTTCTGGTGCTGTGCTCTTGATCCTCCAGAACTGTAAGCTAAATAAACCTCTTTTCTTTATAAAGTAGACAGCCTCAGGTATTCCATTTTAGCAATGGCAAACAAACTAACACAGGGAATAAACCTAGAGGAAGGGGCTCTCCACTCTGCTCCCTAATGAAGGGGTTGAATGGACTGGGGCACTCACGAAGTGAGTGTGCTCACGCCTTTCCAACTCTTATGGTCAGTCCTAAGCCAGCTTGTCCCCCTCACTTCTCAGGATAGAAAAACAAGTTGCATTCCTAAAAGAAAATGTCCAGCCCAGGCGCTTTGTGGCCAATGGCCAGCACTGTTTCCTCTGAGGGCCAGATTGTAAGCAGGTCATTTGTCGTTGAGTCTCTATAAGCTGGTGAAACTTCACTCTGTGGGTGTTCAATGAATGGAGAATCTGAACCCCGGATATAGTGAATCACAATCCTAAGTTTTTAGAATTTATGTATTTGCTTTAGTGTGATCCTCAGGTTTGTTTAGAGTGGATGGTTTTGAGGGCTTCTCTGTGGGTTCATGTGGTGATCTTTAGCTGTTTTCTGTCCGTCTGTGGTTGGGATTGGAGCCCCCTGCCAGCACTGGCGCTCACCATGACCCTGGGGCCGCTCAGGCTTCTTGTCCCCCCAACTCCTTTCTCCCTCTGCCCCAGTCGTCCCTTCACAGGTCTCTCCACTCGCTGGGGGCCTTGGTTATAATGGTGGGTCCAACTGAGCACAAACACCTAGGGAGCAAAGATCTATTTTGTGTGATTACAGGAGGGCATTTCACTGTCCGGGTTATTTAGTACCTATTTATAAGCTGAATAATGTAAAGAAGATAAAACAAAAAAGAAGCTAGCATTCTGTGACAGGGGAGTTTTTGATATTTGCGAAGAATTGCCTTGCGTCCCCCCCACCCCCTTCAGAGCTGGGAAACTTGGGAGACAGAGCCCAAAAGCCCCGGAGCCGGTTGCCTCTGTTGTCCTTTGGTAAATGGACAACTGGCATGTCTAGGGGGTGCCCAGTAGACTTGTGCTCCCAACACTTAGCTCTGTAGATGAGCTGAGTCAATTGCTCCCCAGCTTAGGCTGAATTCCAGATCCCTGCAGTTGGGGATCATGAGGCAAGAGGGTTTGAGGCTGGCCAAGAAGAGAGTTGTTGAAGATGGTGGTAGAGAGAGAACGTGGGATATAGAGAACTCTGAACACTCTGAATTTGGTGGCCATCTTTATTATCCAAATCCCTATTGCTAAGGTTTGGTCCATTAAAATCTGGCTATTCATCACTATAGATTCTTTTGAAATGTTACCAGCATCTTCGTAGAGAGGATAATTTTGAAATACTCTCGGGGGGATGCAGCTGCGGTATATGCATACTTCTAGAGCAGGCTAATCCAGAATCACGGTCAAGTACTCTTGCTGTTTCAGCTGTCCTTGTGCCGAGTGGCCGGACTCTGGCTCTCAAGCTGAGGATTAGGGAAATAGTTGCTTTAAGGGAAGATTCTTGAGGGTGTATAGTCAAGGCTTCATCTTCCATAATAAGAAGTCCTTAAATAATATCTAAATCTGAAAGGCAGGAAATAGTAATGCAACTATGGCATTTTAAAAATGAAGACAGATGCCAAAAGAAAGAGCCACAAGAATTGGAAGTGAATTTCTCTGGGGAATGAGAAGCTGAGATGACAGAGGTGGGATGAGGGGCTGCTGTTTGATGTATCAAATGCCAGACTGTAGATGAGTTCTTGTTGGTTTGTTTTTGGTTTTTTTTTTTTAAAGAAAGGAAGAAAGAATGAGAGGGGTTTTCTCTGGGGGGGGGGGGTGGCAAGAGAGGAGGAAGGATGGAGAGGCTCACCTGAGTTACAGCATCCTCATGCCCCCGATCTCAGGGTTCAGAGAGACTTGAGAGACTCCACAGGTTGTGTTCTGTGGCTCTGGGCACTTTTTAGTGGCTATCACTGTCTTCTCTGCTCACTGTTAGGAAGCCGTATAGTCATGCCCGTCTACTCCCCACATTGTGGTTGCGGAAATCCTCTGGTACTTGGTCATAGTATCACTGAGCCTGGTGGTGCACACCTGTACTCTCAGTGACTTAGGAGGAGGCCGAGGCAGGAGGATCACAAGGTCCTGGGCAGCCTCAGCAACTTAGCAAAACTGTTTTAAAATAAAAATATAAAAAGGGCTAGGGATGTAGCTCAGTGATAGAGCACCCCTGGGTTCAGTCCCCAGTACCGCCAAGGTTATTTGTAATACCTAAACACAATGTAGGTGCTATGTAAATATTTATACTACATTGTTCAGGGGAATAATGGCAAGAAAAAATGTCTATATACATTCGATACAGATGTCCTTTTTTTCCCTAAATATTTTTGGTCTGCAGTTGGTTGGATCCATGGATGTGGACCCCATAGATATAGTGGGTCTGTTACATGGTCACCAGGTACATAATGGCATTAAAGTAAACATTAAAATGACATTTTAATTTAACATTAAAATGACATTAAAGGTAGAACCACTGGCAGGAGCTAGCTGGAAATGTTTGGTTTGCTGGGAGGCAAGGAGAGCCACAGACATGTCAAGGCCTTAGAATTTAGAAAGGATGGTGAGTTTGTCTGCTCTAGCCTCCTTCCTTCTGACATTCCCTTTGATAACTTTATTTATGAATAAAACCTGATTTTGTTAAATTTTGTTAAATGGATTTTATATAGAGTTGTACAAGCAGCGAGGAGTCAGGAGTGACTGACTGGCCTAAGGTCCCACAGCAGGTTCTTGGTGAGGGAACCAGCAACATCACCTACCAACTTTCTTAATTGAATAGTTACCTGTATGATATTTCAGCTGTTCCATTTTTAAAACAAAAATCAAATGCAAGAGTTATATTAGAGAGTTTTCTTGGTTGGATACAAGTTGGAAAGGGGACAGATAAGAGATAAACGTGTTCTGTCGGCCTGTTCCTATGATGGACCCATTGCAGGGAATGTTTTACTTCCAAGATCCCTAAAATGGCTACTCATAGCTGGACCACAGGAAATTCTGCCATATGTAAGATTTTTAGGTTTCCCCCCCTTCTAGGTTTTCACCAGCAAGTCCTTCTCAACCAGAATTTCTTTGGGGGGGTTGGGGGGAATAGGTACCAGGGATTGAACTCAGGAGCACTTGACCACTGAACCACATCCCCAGCCCTATTTTGTATTTTATTTAGAGATAGGGTCTCACTTAGTTGCTTAGCACCTCACTTTTTGCTAAGACTGGTTTTGAACTCATAATTCGCCTGCCTCAGCCTCCCGAGCTACTGGGATTACAGGCATCTAGCACCATGGCACATCCACTGCATATAATAAATTCACTTTTCTTCTGTGCACTTAAAATGGTCCCAACTGTGTATCATCCTTTGCAAAAATGAGAAGAGTCCTTCATCTCATTTTGTGTGGGGCTTCATGCTCTCAGAACCCAGCTGGAAGGGCTGTATGTGGGTTATTTTGGGTGTTTTATCATACCTTATTTTTTCCTGTAGGCAATTCTGCTTCACACCGGAAAAATGCCCTGTCTTTGCAGTAGCATCAGCTTTTGGTCATGTTTTTGCCTAGACTGGAAAACTTAGTCCTTCCTCATGCCCTGTGCTTGAACCCCTGACATCCTGTTTATTATAAGCATTTTATAACCTTTGGCCTATTCAGAGCAGTTGTCCCTAATGACACCTCAGACCCCTCATGTCCATCCCAGGTGTTCTCTAAAAAACTAAAGAATTTTGGAGTCACAAACCTGTATCCCAGCGCCTCAGGAGGCTGAAGCAGGAGGATCACAAGTTTGAGGCCAGCAACTTCCTGAGACCCTGTCAGAAAAAAGATCCAGAGTGTTGGGGAGTCAATTATTGGGTCCTAAGTGATCTTTTTGTCCTCATATTTGCAAGTGATGCTTATTTTCATTCTTTAGTCAGTGGAGACCCTGAACTGGGTTTTATAATCGTCAAGGTGTCCTTTACAGAAGCAGAAGCAGCAGGAATAGCACCTTTTCCCTTTTTCTACCTACTTCATCCCCAGCAGACATTAAAGGAAAGGTAAACCTGCCACTCGTGTAATGAATGAAGTTCATTGACTGTTTTTTCTAAGAAGACAAGTTTTTTTTAAAGGTGAAGTGAAGGTGATTCCAGAATGTAGAGTGGGGGGGGCAGCCGGAGTTCTCAACTTGGTCCTGCCATTAGTTAACTGTGACCACTGACCCTTTGAACTCAAAGCCTTTTCAGGGGAACATGTTTCTTTTTAGTCTCTCCTTGCTGGCCCAAGGGGAAGAAAGGAGTGGGAGAGGATGTGGAGTGCTGTCTGTTCTTAGCTCGGCACTGCAGTACGTGGCTGCATTCAGTCCCTGCATCTGGCCTGTGGGCACCTATCGACACCTCCATCTTCCCAGATAAAGCCAGCTAAGCAGCCTGTGCTCACCCAGAATGCGAACCCCAAACCTGCTGGCTCCTGCCACGCAAGTTTAAGAAAGAGGAAGTTTTTGTTTTGGGGAGATAGAAAACACTTTTTATGAGAGCATTATAATTCAACTTAGTATTTGGGTTCATTTTGACAAAAATCATACATGCAAATCATTTCATTTTAATCCTCATCCTCTTCCTTTTCCTCCTCCTTCCCCCAGTCTCCTTTCTCTGCTCTATGACACGTGCTTTCTTGTCCATATACACAAAGTTGACATTCCCTTTGGTAACTTTATTTATGAATAAAACCTGATTTTGTTAAATTCATTTCATATTTCTTCCCCCTTCCTTCCTACTCTTGTTCTCTTTCTTCTACTCCATTGGTTTTCCCTGATCTTTATGATATCTGATCCCCTCCCCAGCCACCGAGAAGGAAGTATTTGTTCAGTAAGTTTCAGAAATTTTTCCATACCAATTTGCTGTGTTCCTTTAATGGAAGAAAAGCCACCTGGATAGAGGGCTTTCCAACTTGTCCATTGCCACAACCCCCCATCTCCTCGGGGAGGTGCCTGGTCCCCTGTGCATGCCTGCTCCTGACTCATTTTTGAAGATCAGTTGGTCGAAGTGCTTTCTCTCATCTTTACCTTTGAATTCGGGGTTTGGGTCAAGAGTGCAGGGGAAAGGAGAGCATTAAGTTAAAGAAGAAATGCTTTGAAGATATGATTTACTTCTCCAGAGTTGAACTAGTGAAACATCTACAGGGGTTTGTTCAGAGGCGCAAAATAGGGGACTAGGGTAGAGCGCCTCCCTAGCGCAGGAGGCCCCGGGTTCCATCTCCAGCACTAAAAATGAAAAGAAAATATTTTCAAGGGGCGGTCCTCTGCTCCAGGGCTGACACAGGGCAGCACCGCATCCCTAGCTGCTGCTGGCTGAGACCCAGCACTTGGAGGTCTTGGAAGGTGGATGGGAGCTGCTTTATCTTCTAAATGACAGTAATTATCAAGCTCACATTTCATAAGAGGAGGAGGATTTTTTGATTTGGCATGCAGTACCTACAGTGGCTGAATGAAGGCAATTAAGTGTCTAAGGATGCACACAAGAGCTTGGAACTGCTCTCGATGTCAGGAAGCCCACAGGCCTTTGCTAGGCCTCCCACTTGTGTGTGTCTGTATTCAACTCACCTTTTTTTAGGGTGTAGATGATAATCCACTCTACTGATTCATAGAGCAGTACTCAGGGTGGCCTGAATCCTGGCCTTCCTGCCCCCAACCTCTGGGCCTTCCAGTGAAGTCACACTGTGAGTTTTGTCAGCATCCTTTCCTTTCATATCAACATGTCATCCAACCTCATAATTTAGAAATGTAAAGCTTGTGGGTTGGGAGTGGGGTGCTGGGGGTGGAATCCAGGGCTTCACACTTGCCATGCTAGGCAAGTTATTTACCACTGAAACACCCCAGCCCTAAAGCTTTTCTTAAAAATTGTTTTTGACATCATTTTTCCCGGGGGAAGAATCATCTAGGTCCTGAAGGAAATAATGTCCCAGAGTCTAGGACAAAGTCGTCTCTTTCCCCTAGCAGAGCAGCTGCCTCTCAGATCCAAACTGCCTGCTAGCTGAGACCATAAAAGAGTATGGGTCTGGCCTGTTTCCTGCTCTGCTTGCCTCTTTGAAAGAGGACACCTGGAACCAATGTAGGCCCTCAGGACAGGTGAGCTGGAGCTACCTGTTCCCAAAGACCTGTTGACACAATAGCTGGCGACTTGCTGTTGGCCAAAGGAGAAAGGACTGACCATGGGTTGTCATGTCAAGTGGGTGCTGGGAAGGGCTTCTGACTTGTGCAGGCAACCTGTACACTGCAGGCCTGTAGTCAGGGTGTGCAGGGAGCGGCAGTACTTGTCCCCTTCTGCCCCCCACTACTGGGGAATGAACCCAGGGGCACTCAACTTTTGTTTTTTATTTTGAGACAGGGTCTTGCTAAGTTGCTCAGACTGACCTCAAACTTGCCATCCTCCTCCCTTAGTCTCCTGAGTAGCTGGGATTACAAGTATGTGCCACCACGCCCAACTTTTTTTAAAATTTCTTTTCTTTTTCCTTTTTTTTAAAATGTGAATCCCTTGTGAAAAGGGACAGATAACTGCTTTGCACCAGTTACTCCGCTGAATTTGATATGAATATGTGGCTATAAGTTTTAGTTGGCCTCCTTTAAAAATTCACAATCCCATCAGCATGTGCAGTCAGGGCAGAAGTTCTGCTTAAATCAATTCTGTCACTCTTGAACCAGTTAAGCAGCAGGCTTAGTTATTTCACCTGTACGGTCCTTAGAGGGGGAGGGTTACACATGAAGTTGCTAGAGAGCTCACACATACCTTGGAGATGGTTGGACATCTTCAGTCAACTCTTGTGTTCCTGGGACACAGAGATGTTTGTCTGCTTGCCTGTCCGGGCCAGGTATTGGGGTTGGAACCCCCAGGTACTCTGAGGCACACTGAGCTCCGTCCCTGTTACAGGCCTGTGCCACTGCACCCAGCATTTGCTCACCTCTCTAGAGGGTGGGGTGTGTCCCCTCCGTCGCTCTCCCCAAGGAGGAGAAGGAAATTGCCAGTTGCCTGCCTTCTCCTGGTCTCTGCTTCACAGGAACATCCTGTTTGAAAAAACTGTAAACCTGCTGCCCCTTGTTAGTTCCAGGTGTTGCTAAGAAAGCCACCACAGGCACAGCTCTGTCTGCCAGCTGCAGCTCTGTCCCTGCCCCCATTTGGAATAAACAGAGTAGGGAAACCCAAGGGTTTTGAAGGGATGCACATAGTCCCAAAAACACTGGTGTCATTTTGAAATGCACAGTCCTGTTCATGACGAATGCCCCAGAAGCTCGGTCAGCAGCCAGGATCCATCCTAGGTGGATAGTTTAGGCCAACCATCTCCTCAGCTGGTCTGGCCCCTCATTCTTTCCTCCCTTCTCAAATTCCCTGAATGAGGAAGGTTTGCTCCTGGCCCAGGTGCCCCAAATAGATGCATGTGCTTCTTTAAGAATTTCTGGGTTAAACTTGGAAGAGTAGCCAAAGTAGACTCAGCCCGAGGGAGCTGGTCTCAGGGTCAGCAGGAGGACAGAACTGGCAGCTTCTATCTCCATTCAGACAATTCCCGGCCTCACCAGGAGAAACAGCCAATCCACAAGTTCAGGAAGCCTCAACCCGCTGTCTTGCACTTTAGATTTTGATTTATTGTCACGATATCTTAACATGAAAGTCACTTTTTTAAAACCAGGTGTGGTGGCACACACCTGTAATCCCAGCAACTCAGGAGGCTGAGGTAGGACAATAAAAAAGGACTGGCGATGTACTTAGTGGCATAGCACCTCTGGGTTCAATCCCCAGGACCAAATAGACAAATAAAGTGACTTTTTTGGTTTGAATTTTGGTACTGGAATTGAACCCAGGGATATTTTACCACTAAATTCTATCTCCAGCCCTTTTATGTTTTAATCTTGAGACAGGGTCTCACTAAGTTGAGGGTTTCGCAGAGTTAACGAGGCTATTCTCAAACTTGTGGTCCTCCTGCCTCAGCCTCCACTGTAATTCACTGGGGTTACAGGGGTGTGCGGCCATCCCCAGCAGGAACTTGTTTCCTCCATGTCATACTGGAAGCCCTGCCAAAGATACACTAAGGCAAGAAAGAGATGGTACAAATATCAAAAAGTAGACCAAACCATCTTTTGTAGGTAAAATAATGTACTTGGAAAAATCCAGAGACAAACTTGACAAAGCTTCTGAGGGAGCTACCTAAGCAGGGGACCAGGTGCAGGATCAGCATACTGAATCTGTAACCCTCCTGAACATCAGCACTCACAATTGAGAAAATGATCGTTTTATTTGTCATTGTATTTTTGCAGTAACCTTGAGGAAGATTCTAGCCCTGTGTGATACATGTGAAAACTGGAGTTAAAGGTTAACTTGGGGCTGGGGCTGGGGCTCAGTGGTAGAGCTCTCGCCTAGCATGTGGAAGGCCCTGGGTTCGATCCTCAGTACCACATAAAAATAAATAAATAAAATAAAGGTATTGTGTCCATCTACAACTAAAAAAAAATAAAATAAAGATTAACTTGACAAAGATCACACACCTTATAATTAACAGAATGGCTGAAATCTGGTGTTCCTGAGCCAGGACCCTGTTATTTTTGGCATTGTGCTCCATTGTTTCTGTTCAGCACCTATCATTAGGCTGCACATTTCTTAATTGGGCACTTTTTAAATAAATGGCCATTGACACTGTCAGTGTGCAACCCAGAGGCTGGATTTCTTTAGAGGTTAATACATGTGTAGGTGGCCAGGGCTGTGCTGGCTAAATCATGAGGACAAGACCTCCCAAGAGTCCACTGTGCCCAGAATGCAGTACCCGCTTTGCTGTCCACAGTGGAGGCACTGACATTAACAGCAGGCTCTGACCTTGTTCCCTCTAGAAGCCACTCTCTTAGGAGCCTGAGGTCCCGATTCCAGAGTCCTGGCAGAGGGCCTCTGCTTTTGTTCAAAACCCTAACAGTTCAGAGAAACCCACCCAAGAGAGCAAGTCAAGTTGAAAACATGGCCACAGGCCACATGATTGCCGGAGCTTGCAGTGAAGGTGACCTGTCTGATTGCTGGGTTGGTGGTTGTCATTTATGTACACACACAGTGTGTAGAATCTTGCTCACACACATATCTGGGTGCTGCTCCTCTGTGGCTGCCGTGGTCATAGGATAGCCAGTTTTGAGGTGCATGCGCTAGACGTCTCCCTCACCTTTCTTGGAGATGTCCTTTCATATATTTTGTGTGCAGGTCACCTCACAACTGTGGATTTGTCTGACAGCATAGATCTGAAATAAGCCTTGGCCAGCAATGGAGCCGCTCTGTCGTGCCCTCTTTCCTGGGGTTTACACAGACCTGATGTGAGTGGACACGGATGGTGTAGGCCAAGCTGGGATATACCCTCAGCTGTGCTCGCTGGAGGCAGCAGGGTGCAGGCACGCCTGTCAAGGGCATCTGGCCTTCTTGCCATTCTGTACAAATCCATCAGCAGATTAAGAGCTACTGAAGGTCCTTTCCCAGTCTCACTCACATTGACAGATGTCTGGGGAGCCCTGCATGTGACTGTGCCGTGGGAGGAGGCCATTAGGGCCAGGGAGGAGGTAGGATGGGTGCGTTGGAAGGTGGTGCTTCCGACTGGCTGATGGATGCTGGGAAAACTGGGTGTGCCTATTTCTGAGAAGGACTTCCTACACACTGTTAACCCAAGCATAAGTCACAGAAAAGAGGAGGTGGGTTAGGGTGAGCAGATGACTGGGATGCATTAACTGAATTTCTGAGAATTAAATGCTGGGAGCATGTTACAAGGGTGACATCGAACCTAATAGATGACTACAATGTAGATGTTGGATGAGAATTTACCTCTTGAGATTTGAATCACACTGAAGGGCCCTTATCTACTCATTCCAAAGGTATTTATTGAGAAACTGTTGAATTCTGAGACGTCATCCCCTTATCTCCTGGATTTGTTTAAAACAGCGTACCCCTTCTCATTTGGAGAAGCTGTATTTGTATTCATCTGAACAAAGAACCTCCCAGGGTAGGAACTGGAAGTGGGCTCACCTGAGGGACAGCAAGGAGATACATTAGGCTTAAAGGACCTTAGTTCTTTATTTCAGAGATGGAGGCAGCAACTCTTCTGATCTCTCCATCAAGTCTGTCTGTATTGCCCAGAGAGGACTATGAATATGTTGGAATCAGCATGTGGATCAGGAGACTGGTAGCAGACATCAGCCCTGAATCACATGAGCCAAATAGAAGTAGAGAAAAATCTAGAAAGATGGGTTCCCCAACATGATGATGTACATATTTACCAAGTTTCTTAAATTAACAATGGTTGTGTCCCATAATGAAAACATGGGTTTCTTTTCTTTTCAACCATAAACTGTCACCTCTGCTGGGCCATCTTCCTTCCCACTGAGCCCGCCAGTGGGAGCCTGGTGTATCGATCCCTCCCCCACAGCCTGTTGCTGCTCCCACATCTGAGAAAACATCCCAACTTTCCAGGTCTGGTGGCGGGGTTTCTCCGTTTGTTGAGCCAGCCATGTCATGTTCGGACAATCTGGCCCTTCGGGGGTCTCCTGCTGAGGCCAGGATAAACTCAAGATTGTGGGAAGTCCAGCACAGTGCCGCAGATCAGGGGTAGACAGTACTCAACAATGCATGGTAGGGCTTGGTGTGTTTGTTGATTTTTGTTTTTACAGTATTGGCATTTGAATCCATGGGTACTCTACCACCAAGCTACACCTTCACCCTTTTTTATTTTTTAGTTTAAGACAGGGCCTAAACCGCCCAGACTGGCCTCAACCTTGTAGTCTTCCTGCCTCAGCCTCCTGAGCAGCTGGGATTTTAGGAAGGTACCGCTGCACCTTGCTAATGGTTGTTTTTTAACTAACTCTTGGTTACTTCCCCTCTAAACAGACAGCTACAGACAGTTCTTCTAATTCTTCTCAGAAGAGGGAACAGCCTACTCGGACAATCTCCTCTCCCACATCCTGTGAGCACCGGAGGATTTATACTCTCGACCCATACCCCACGGACCATTACCACCTCGACCAGGTGAGCACTGGTCTCATTCCCTGAGATCACTAGGACATGTCCCCTTTCCACTCCTGCTCATCTAAATGCCCCAAGCCTAGGCCTCCTGTGTTTAACTTTGTAAACCCCCCCCCCCCCCAGTACTGAAGGTGGTTTTGATGGTCACAACTCAGAGATTTCGTGTGCCAAACATCTTGCCCCACACCCTTTGTGTGCTTTGTTTGGTTTAATCCTCTGAAGCCTAGTTCATAGATGAGGCAGGGTTAGGGACATGGGGTACCTGGTGGAAGGCCATTCAGCCCACATCTGTCTCCACCCAGGGGGCCACAAGGCCTCTGTGTTCCTCTATCTGGAGGGTCTCCGGCTTGCTGTGAAAGCATGAAGCTAAAGAATGGCACACGCCTGTAAGCCCAGCAACTTGAGAGGCTGAGGCAGGAGGATAGCAAGTTCAAGGCCAGACTTATTGCCTTAGTAAGACCCTGTCTCAAAAAATGAAAAGGACTGGGGGGGTGGCCCAGTGGTAGAGTACCTTTGAATTCATAATCCCCCGTACCGAAAAAAAAAATGCTGCTCATTTGGCTTGAGCTCCCTGGCATGGCGGGCTGCAGGCCCAGTCTTGCTCAAGGGAGATGGAGCTGGAGTCTGGAATTTAATAATTCAACAAATATTTACAGAGCAGCTGCTTTGTGGAGGAGGTTCCCAAGTAGTGGGGCGTGGACTGGTGCCCATGTAAGGTAACAGGGCCACCACACTGTTTAGAAATGAGAAGAAAGGAGCACAGGGCAAGTGAGTTTTTTAACATAAAGTTAGATTTGTTTGAACCTTTTTTTTTTTCCCGTAGTTGTAGATGGACAGAATGCCTTTATTTTATTTGTTGTTTTTTTTTTAATGTGGTGCTGAGGATCGAACCCAGAGCCTCACGCATGTAAGCGCTTTGCCACTGAGCCACAGCCCCAGCCCTTGTTTGAATCTTTTTAGAAAGATTTTATTGTGTGCTTTCTAATATTTTGACTTTAAAATGTGCTTTTTAAAAAAAATCACTTTATGGTAGCAGTAGATGGAAATGGACTTTTTTACACTTTCCTTTCTTTGCAAAATAAAAAATAAAGAAGGCTCAAGATTTGTTCAAAATCCTTCCAGTTTGTGATTTTCCAGAGTCTTACAAACTGATGAAGAGACTCTGACAGGAAGTAGGGCAAAACTGGTGAGCCACAGCCCCTGCCCTCAAAGCACTCAGGATCTAGTGGAAAGTGATGGGTAAATCTGTTACCATCTGATCAGTTCTGGAGCAGTATTATAATGACAATGATGGCAACCGGTATCAGGCATCCTGTTTGTCAGGCACTGAGCTGATCCTCTACATAGGTTATTCCTATTCATTTTCCCATCAGGCCCATGTGTGCATCACCATGCGCAGCTTGGAGAGGTGTAGGTGATTCTGCCGGCTGCATTTAACAAAGCCCTTTTAGTGTGAGGGATCACCGTCTGGTGATACACATATATATACATATATATAATATATATGTATACACACATAACACATTATATTTCCTATATATATTCCTACATACATATATACTGTATATGTATATAAACTACACACACACACACACTTTATTTCCTAGTATCCCCTATTGCTCTCTTGTGAACATGAGCCAGAGTACAAAATGCATCTTATATGGTGACCCAGTTTGTGGATTTTTTTTTTTTTGGCTTTGGTTTTGGTTTTGGTTTTGTTTTCTGGTGGGGGGAGGTACCAAGGATTAAACTCAGGGGCACTGCACCACTGAGCCACACCCCCATCCCTATTTTTGAATATTAGAGACAGGGTCTCACTGAGTTAGTTGCTTAGTGCCTCGCCCAGTTTGCACACTTTGTACATAAGGAAGTTACCCTTAAAACATGCAGTATATGCCAATATCCTTATTTCTTTTTTCTTTTCTTTTTCTTTTTATGAAAAGAATCAGTTTCATGAAAGATCATGCTGTACAAAACCAGGCAAAACTAGTGCAAACTGTCAGACATCATCCTGGGGTGCCCCACTACCTGAGGAGGTTAGGTGGAGGAGACAGGTCCTGTTCCACCTGTTGCCGTGGGAGTATTGGGCTTCTGAATATTCAGACTGTTCTGTTGTGATGTGCACCCTTTCCTGTATGGTCATACTTCAAAAAGAAAAGAAAATGCTGGTCCCTACCCGTTTCATCAATTTTCCCAGTAATGGATTGAGACTCACAATTTGAAATACTTCTTTGATCAACAAGATGTTAAGTAATTACAGAAAGGTGCTCACCTCAGCAGCATATATACTAAAGTTAGAAGGACACAGAGAAGATTAGCATGGCCCCTGCAAGGGTGACACGCAAAATCTAAAAAGAACAAATTTAACCATTTAAAAAGAGAGGCCTTGGTTGAGGTGAAAGGTGCATTTTGGAGGATTGGGGTGGGAGGTTTTTATTTTATTTATTTATTTGTTTGTTTGTTTTCTTTATGTGGTGCTGAGGATCGAACCCAGGGCTTTGTGCGTGCTAGGCGAGAGCTCTACCGCTAAGCTGATCCACAACCTCAGCCCCAGGGGAGGGAGTTTTTATGGATTGGGGGTGGGAGGGTGAGGGGGTTGTTTTTCCTTTTTCTTGCTTGTTTTTGGCCACTGCTATAAAACGATGTCTGCTTTTCCCTGGGCAGCGGATGCCAAGGCCCTACCCGCAGGTGAGCTTCCCAGACGACGACGAGGAGATTGTGCGCATCAACCCACGGGAGAAGATCTGGATGACCGGGTACGAGGACTACCGGCACGCGCCAGTCAGGGGCAAATACCTGGACACCCTGGAGGACGCGGACTCCTATGTGCGCTTCGCCGCCAAGGGCGAGGTCCCCAAGCACGACTACAACTACCCCTACGTGGACTCGTCAGACTTTGGCCTCGGGGAGGACCCCAAAGGCCGCGGGGGCAGCGTGATCAAGACGCAGCCCTTGCGGGGCAAGTCCCGGCGGCGAAAGGAGGACGGCGAGCGCTCCCGGTGCGTGTACTGCAGGGACATGTTCAACCACGAGGAGAACCGGAGGGGCCACTGTCAGGACGCGCCCGACTCCGTGAGAACTTGCATCCGCCGGGTGAGCTGTATGTGGTGTGCGGACAGCATGCTCTATCACTGTATGTCGGACCCCGAGGGAGACTATACAGACCCCTGCTCGTGCGATACTAGCGACGAGAAGTTTTGCCTCCGGTGGATGGCTCTTATTGCCTTGTCTTTCTTGGCCCCCTGTATGTGCTGTTACCTGCCCCTTCGGGCCTGCTACCACTGCGGAGTGATGTGCAGGTGCTGCGGCGGGAAGCACAAAGCAGCCGCGTGACTCCGGTCCCCTCTCCTTCCCCTCCTCCATCCACAACCACATGGGAACTTCTGTATCTTCCACACTCACCCTCTCCCCTGCTCCCTTCCACTCCAAGGGGCAAGGAGAGCAAGAGGCCTCCCGGCCCCCTGGTCCCTTGAGGCACCATTCCAGCCTGGGGCACCTGCGTGGTGGACTCTCCACTCCCCAGCACCCACTGCGACAGCCACACACCCATTCACACGCTCGCCCAGTGTTCTAAGGGAAAGAAACCTCCTGCATAGACTCTCGTGTTATTACCAACCTGTAATCATGCTAACGTCTTATCCATGTTGATTCCTGTCTCTCCTCCCGGCCTCTTCCAGTTTGAATGAGTCTGCGGTGGAAACGGCTGGTTTGGGGTGGGTTTTGTAGTTCTTTTTACCAAGGGCACCAAAGCCTGTCTCTCAGTCTGGCTAGCCTGGTTGCTAGCAAGCGTCAGGTTCCTGTGGAAACGTGCTGTCAGTGCTGAAACCCGACCAGAAGTGTTCTCACCTGCAGTCAGCTGTCATGTATAGGAGGTGAGCTAGTTAACAATCTTGTACCACAAAACAATATCGCTTTAACTTTTCTAAAGCCAAATTTCCCATGTAAGCTGCAGTTTCTCTCCTTAGCCCATCGTCATATCTGCCCTCCCCCCACCAAATCTGTTGAATTTATTCACTGATGCAAAACATTTACCTATAAAATGACTGAGAATTGAGCCTTAATTTCAGATTAACTTGTGAGAATCAGGAAAAATTCCTTAAACTGCATCACAGCCTCTTGGATCAGGGCTAGAAAGGGGATTTCAGGTCTCTATGAACCTCCCCAGTTCACCCCTTAAGATAGAACTTTTTAAAATTGTGTTGCCACCACTTCTGAAAACTTAGCAATATTAGAATAAGATGTTAGTGAAGTAAGAGATTTTGCTCATTATTTTGCAAACCTAATAGTCTATTCAAAACAAACCAGTGTTCTTCGAGGAACACTAAGGTTGTGAATAAAACCATAGGAGCTCCCCCCAGCCCCAGCAACTTTTTTCTATCAAAGGGGGGCGATTTTAAATGTCATAATCGAAGAGTGGTGGGTTGCATTTTTGTTTGTGGGTTTATGTTTTTGTTTTCATTTTGGACTCAATTTCACATCACCAAATTCTTCATTTATACTTGGGAAAAAACAAGGCCATATGTAAAAACCCTTCTGATGCCTAAGTGTCTTCTCCTGCAACTCCACACCCAGACTTGCCACTTTGGGTGCATAGATGGTTAGGTCAGCCGACTTGAGTCTGCCTGTCACCTTGCCGTGCAGGAGGCTTCTAATTAGCTGGAAAAGAGTATTTTTCTAATATATTGCAAAGAATAGCCAAATCTTCTTATTGAAGAAAGAAGAAAAGTGAACAGTGGTTACCTGTACCTAGCATAGTACAATCAGAACCTCGTGGAGAACACAGGGACCAGGCTTGTCGATGCTGGCTGTTCTTCCCGCCACGATCTTCCCATGGTAATTGCCAGCAGAGGGCACAGCCTGGTCCCACTCTCCTCCCTCTTCCCCTCCCTTCTTTATTGCACACAGGACAACAGTCTTCAAGGAAAGGGACTTTCTTCCAGTCTGCCATTCGTACTGGGAAAGTGCTAGCCATGCTTACCTTCATGGGAGTGCTATCAGCTCGCCTGAGAGCCCGCCATGCTTCTTTTAGACAGATCATCAGTGTAAATACCCAGTGTGCTTATGAGTTAGTTGGTAGACGTTTTCATTTGTTGGAATGACTAGTTGGGGCTTTCCAGTGTGGAAAAGGAGCAGAGAGCTGTCCGTCTGTATCAATGGAAGGAAAGAGAACCCCTTCCCTGCCAGGAGAGCATCTAGCCAGCCTCCAATGCTGTGGAGAGACCATCTGCCCCAGCCTGAGGTGTCGCCTCGAGGCCTTTCTCTAAGGTCGCCTCTCTGCAAAGCACAACACTAATCTACTTTCGTCAGACCTCAGTTCAAGTGCCCCTATTTATTTCAGTGAAAACACACACACATCCCGGATGCTTTGTTTGTCACCTCTATTTAGTTCATTACTTGTTCTCTCTTCCCTTACCCCTTGCTGGTTTTCCCCACTTTTCAAGAGTTATGCTAGTGAATCTTGCACGCATATCCTTTTTGGTTTGCAAAGGCAGCGGTTAAGGGCACAAAGACAGCCATGGGGACATTTATGTAAATACGTCTCTCCAATTGCCACACTGCAGCTGAACAGTGTGCAGTATTTTCCCAGTCAGCTTTGCCATACTGACGTCAATCATTTGAGAGAAAATATTCAGATTTTTATTTTTGTATCTGTGGTAACAAAAACATTAACCAAAAGATTTTCTGTTCAGAAGCTTCCCCGGCCCTCCCCCAAGCTATTTGCTCACATTAACAAATTAAAGTGCCTGAAGCATAATTCATTCTTTACCTGTATACTAAAAATCCTGTTGTATTGATTTTTTTTATAATAAGCCTTTTTACCTCTGTGTAAAAAATATATATACAAGTGTATGATGTACATTTTAGTTCTTAACTTTTTTTTATGGTTTCTAATATGTATGACCAATGTAGCCATTGCTTTAAAATGTACCATGTAAATATAAACACATTCTACCAGATGGCTGGCTTTGGGGTGTCTGTCTGCCTGGAAATGGGGTGGCTGTTGAGCCTTAGCAGACCTGGGAGTTCTCCCACACAGGATGGGATGGCGTTTCCTTTGCAGAAGGACATGTGGACACCGAGCTGTTTTTGTGAGGCCCTTCCAGCCTAAGGTTATGTCATATTCCCAAGGGGAGACTGCAGCTCCGTGGGCTCCAATGCCTCAAGTGAAAGGAATGCTTCGTGTCACCGCCCGGGAAACACCCCCTCTTCCTAGGCCTGCTTCCCCACAAGAGCTCCTCAGAGGGAACAGCTGTACTTCCTCCGAGTTGTTTTCCACCAGTTCCTGCTAAACCTCAGGGGTACGAGTGTGTGTGTGTGTGTGTGTGTGTGTGTGTGTGTGTGGTTTGGAAGACCATTTCTCACAGAAGACAATTGTTAAAACTGCATGACCCTGGGTCTCCTCGGAGCAGCGTTCTTGGCTCTTTGCCTTTCCAAATGGACTCTTTGGATGCTCAAAAGCTGTAGTGATGATTCCCCCGGAGGAAATAAAGCTTGAGGTCTTTTGAGGGTCACAAAGGAAAGTTTCGACTCCTTTTCTAGAGAAACAAGTAGGGTCCCTAAAAAGAAATATAGAGGGCCCCTCCGTCTTAGTTTTAACTCTTCCCTGAAGGGGTGGCTTTTCCAAGCCACCTGGGCAAAGGTGAAAAGCAAAGATTCTAGAAATTGGGGGGTGAGAGAAAATCCTGTAAGGCTCCTCCAGAGCTGGAGCAGGGAAAGTGTCCTAAGGTCATATTTGACCCTCTCCCTTCCTTCCCATTATCTCTGGTATACAGTTGAGGAACTGAAGTTGGGAATGGGTAACAAAGGTGACCTTCGGTCAGGAGAGGCAGGGATTGAGCGCGCCTAGCTGTGGAGTCCAGGCCCCTACAGAGCCTCACCCCAGGCCTCTGCTTCTGTCCCTTCTTGCCCAAGGGTTTGAAAGTGAGCTGCAGCAAGAACCCTAGCCCTCCACCACTCAGGCTGCGGTCTTTGGTGCCCATTGCCCAATGCCAGAAAATAGGCCGCTCCACAAGTCATCTTCAGCCTTCCTCTTCAGCTGTGAGGAGGAAGCCCATGTACAGGAATGACGCAGTCAAGGTCACTGGACAGTCTGCTGCTGCAAGCCAGTAGCCCTTGAGCAAGTGATATCACCCTCCTGAGTTTCTTCTGGTGTAACTTACTGGACCCACAAACAAGGCTAGAGGGGGCAGCTGCCCCAGGTCCTCTTGCTGAGCACCAAACTCACAGCAATGAAAGAAAACACACTTCATCTGATGACTGAGGAAGATGAGCATCAGGTGAGGTTCAATAGGGAGTTAGGCTTGGGATCTGGTCTCAGCACTTGGCTTTATTATAGGTGGATGGATACCTACCCTTGGCAGATTTTGGAGCTTCAATGACATGCTGTAGTAAAAGTGCCACATGCAGGAGACACTCCCAAAATGCTCGTTCTTTCTCCCCTTCCTCCTCTGTCTGTCCCTGAAGAAACAGTGGGTACTGAAGAATAAACCTCTTTCAAGGGACAGGAGGCTAATGCATGAATCATAGATATTTTTTTAAGAATTACAACCTGTTCACTCAGATTTCCTTTTCTTAATTTATGATTCTGAATTTGATTGGGATTTCTTGCTGTATGTTTATGGTCCAAGTTTTAGCCGAAGAGGTGCACTAGTCTGGGTGGATTTGGAGGGGCCTTCTTTGTGGAGCTTGGCAAACGTTCTGCTGAAAAGAGCTGGGTCCAGCTCAGTGGCACTTACCCAAGGTTGGGGCACACTGTCTCCTGGGTGCTGCCTACCTGAACTTCCCAGGCCCATGTCTGGCCTTTGGTATACCTGCCGCAGTCTGGCTGGGCACAAATAACCCAACCGCCACAAAGCCTTGCAGATTCAACTCTCACCGGCACTGCACACACCACATAGGAACCACACTTCCTCCACCGGGCTCTGTCCAATCTCTCCAAACCCCCACGAGAACTCACAGGAACTCCAAAGTAGCGGGCTACCGAGGTAGCAAGAGCCGCCCTATAGCCCGCCAGTAAAGGTCAAATATACAATACAATCAATCCAGCATCACAGCAATTATATATAGCTTAACTCAAATCATCATCCCAATGGTTCGCTGGCGTCACCTTTCAACCATCCCCTCTGGCAAATGCCAGGCATCATTCTGACTGGGCTGTGGCTCTCAATAGGCCTCAGGCTTGCTAAATGCACACACATTTTATAATGAGCAATACCCTCAGCTTCCATTTGTTTAGGCCTGAACCAGATGTATGGATTGAAGGGGGATGACCTGGGTCACATTCTGCTGACCAGATACAGTTGTGACTGCAAATCAGGGCCTGCACCATGTCCTCAGCTGCAGCAGCCACCAGGGCTAGTGCCCTGTAGAAATGGACCTCCCCCCTAAAGGGCAGTGCAGGGGTGTGGAACAGGAGGCAATGGTTTTTGTATATTTATAAGGAAAAAAATTATGAGGTGATATTTATACTTAGTATCCTTTCCCTCTCCTGTGTCCCTTCTCTTTTTTCTTTCAGAGTGGGCCAAGAATTTGGGGAGAAGGATTCTGATTATCGTATGAGGTAATATCTATAGTTGTAAAAATATCACACATTGTTAAAATATTAAAAATGGGAGTTTTCTTATATTCACTTGTAAGGGATGCTAGTAACAAAGTACCATAAATTGGATGACTTAAAACAACAGAACTGTCCCAGTCTGGATACCTGAAGTTCAAGATTAGAGCTGTGAATGAGGAAGGCTGTGAATGAGAGTCTGGCCCAGGTCCCTCTCCTTGGCTTATAGATGGCCATCTTCTCCCTGGACCTGTTCACATCATCTTCTGCTGTGCATGTCTGTGTCAAATTTTGTTTTAGTTTTTGCTTTTAATATTTTTTAGTTGTCAATGGACCTTTATTTTATTGATTTATTTTTACGTGGTGCCAAGAATCAAACCCAGTGCCTCATACATGCTAGGCAAGCACTCAACCCCGCAACCCCAGCCCTCAAATTTTGTTTTTAGAAGGACACCATTCATATTAAATAAGACTCACCCTAATGACCTAATTTTAACTTGATTACCTCTGTAAAGACCTTATAAGGTCATATTCTAAGGTATTAGAGATTAGGAGTTCTTATGACTTGAGGGTAGGGAATAATTCAGTTCCTATCACACCAAAGGTAACTGGTGTGTATACTCAACTTTTCTACAGTTGTATATATGTGTTTCCTCATGGGAGAGGAACTCATAGAATCATGAATCTTACCTATCCTGTTCTGACACCAGTTTTGGTACCAGGGATTAAACCCAGAGGCACTTAACCATTGAGCCATAGTCCTAGTTCTTTACATTTTTATTTACAGACAGGGTGTCACTGTGTTGCTTAGGGCCTTGCTAAATTGCTGAGGCTGGCTTTGAACTCAGGATCCTCCTACCTCAGCCTCCCAAACCACTGGGATTATAGATGTGCATCACCGCACCTGGTGGGGTGGGGGGGGAAGAGGTCCTGTGTTCCATCCCCAGTACCTCAAAAAATATATATATAATAATAACACTGCAGGGCTGTGGATGTGACCTGGTAGTAGAGCACTTGACAGCACTCCTAAAGCCCTGGGTTTGATCCATAAAACAAAAAAATGGCAAGTTCCGTGGCACATGCCTGCAAACCCAGTTGCTGGGGAGGCTGAGGCAGGAAAATCAGCAGTTCAGAGTAAGTCTCAGCAATTTAGGGAGGCCCTAAGCAACTTAGTGAGATCCTCTCAAAATAAAAAAATAAAAATGGCTGGAGATATGGCTCAGTGGTTAAGCACTCTTGGATTCAATCCCTGGTACCCCCTCACAAAAGAAAGAAAGAAAATGCTAATTTCACTTAAGAATGTTTTTTCATGAAGCAATAAATATTACTTTTAATAAATATTGGCCCTTGGATTTACATCTTTTTAACATTCTGTGTGGCAAGACAGAGCATGTATAAAACACTTTTGCTGCAGAGTTCAGTATGTTAGCATGTCTAGGTAAAGTCTTTGTGTACTTGAGTTGCAAGCTAAACTAACTGCTTTTACTTGAGCAACTGACAGACTGTCATTATGGTTAAGTTGGAATGGTTATTTAGGCAGAGGTATTTGGCAGACATCTTCTCCAAAAAATGAGCAAAAACAGCCTAAATACCTCAAGGAAATACTTGTAGTCAGTGATAAAATTTGAGCATTCAAGCAAAAATTGGAATTTTGTAAACCATATACCTGCTACTTGTTAGTAGACTTTTCTCACAGAATTGGTGGTTATACTAAGAAATGTGACTTTGGGGTTGGGGTGTGGATCAGGAGTGGAGTGCTTGCCTGGCATATTCAAATCCCAGGGTTCGATCCCTAGCACCCCACCACCCCCCCGCAAAAAAAAAAAAAAATCTCTTTTCCAACTACTTCTTTGTCTAAAGTCAGATTATCTTCAGATACTTCAACTAAAACAACATGTCACAACAAATTGAACTCAAAAGTAGATATAAGAATCCAGCTGTCTTGTACTAGACAGATTTTTAAATTTCTCAGTTTTAATTTCTAATGCAGTCTTATCAATAGCTATAACCTGAAGCTCTTTCGGGTTCTCAACTTTTCAGGATATAAAGGGATACTGAGAAGAATGGTCAATTCTACTCTTGATTCTTTTCAAGTGCAGCTTTCACCTGACCCTTCTACTTTTGGTTGCCTTCTTATTTGGACAGCTCTCTTTGTGTCTTTTCATTCTGTTTTGTCCTTCTAAGTGCCCACTTAGACCAGTAGCACAGGGCTTATCTTGCATTTTGCAGAGGTAACTTTTTGCATTTTGCAGCGTTTCTCTCAAGTGAGCATCTGTTCCATATGGAACAGTGGAGACCTGTGACCTCTAGGCCTTGAGGGCAGTCTTCCTCTCCTTTGGGCTCCACTGTCTTTCCAATGGTCCTTTGCTGGTTCTTCCCATTGCATGGAGAGTCCTCTATTCA